CATACTACATAGCGGAACCAGACTTGTAGGTATCACATCGCATTCAGGGGTTTGTTTACTTTGGGTTGCTTACCTACTTCACATGGCTTGACATGGTGAGTTGCTGGAAGAGTTACTTACAACCCTAGGATTTCCAGCTGTTCGTAAACTTGGCGCGTGCGTGTGCATGCATGAGGTACATATCCCTTTTATTCACACCCTCTCGAACCTGGACTAGCTCATCTCAAAGTAGTGTAGACAGAATTCTCCTCTGGAAACCCCCTGCTAGTGTTGTTGAGCCTTTCCTCGAGCACACACCCCTGCCCGTGACCGATGACGTCGCGGGGTAGCATGCACGACATACATTCAGGAAGAAACGCGGGGTTGTGGGGTAGCTCGAGATTTCCCTTCCCCTCCCTCAGCTTGGTTGATCAAGCGCTGGGTGCAGAGGGGGGAAAGAAGCGATTACGTCAAACCAACCGTTTCCCTCGATTCAGCGTCACTACGGCAGGCATATCTGGAAACAGTAATCCGGTTTTTGGCTTCTGTTTGACTGACTGGTGGGAGAGAGGGTCTCAGAAAAAGTGAGGCAAGGAGCCTAACTGCAAAGTCTGGAAGAGGAGAGGAGATGGGCGGCCCGGAGCTGGCCGCGTCCATGCCCCGCCCCGCCCCGTTCAGCCGAGCTTTTCCAGGCCATGGATGGATGGCGGCTTGCCAGGTTCGGGTTTGATTGACCCCGCGCTTCCCGCCAGAACCTGACCCAGCCAGACAGGACAGAACTCTGAACCAGACAGAATCTGAGGGAAAGACCCCGCTTCATTTTGACAGATGGGGTTGGTTCCTGCTAAACCCAGCCGAACCAAGCAGTCCAGTCCGGGGTGTGGTGATCGACGCTGCACAGGTATGTGCAGATGGGCTTAGATGGGTTAGCAGACGACGTAAGGTTGGTAACGTCGTGAATGATCACCCCCAGGCTTAGGTTTGGCCGGCGCTTGGGTATCGTACGGGATGGGGTGTGAATCGTGGTGAGCAGATCAGGTGAGTCGGCGACTATCTGCAACATGTGTGCATATTATTCCCTCTCTCCCCTCGCCCTCGGCTAGACCAGATCTCCCAGCTGACACCGATCGATCTGTGCTGTGCAGCCGATGTGGGGATGCGAGGACAGGGTCAGATTCCGGTTCTCACCCCCGCCCGAGACATCCGTGGATACTTTTGAGATGGAAGGTCATGCCGGGTCGATAGGTTAGGGTTATCCAGACGCGCGTAACTGCGACTGTAACGGTCGCGGCCGGTGAAGGTGGCGGATGGTAATGGGGGGTGGGCACTGTGTGGAGGATACGGTGGGGTGGTGGTGAGAGAAGGTTCGGTCGGAATCGAAAGATTCGGAGGAGACGGGGTGAGTGTTCGCGTTCGGAGAGTTTGACGTAGCAGTTTTGGCTCGAATCCCGTTAGTTGGGTCGCGCTAGAATCATTCGATGGGGGCTATTGTGAACACTGGACACTAATGAAGAGAGGAGTGGGATTAAAAAAAGGAAAAACCGATGGGAATGCGATGGGATGCGATGCAACTCTGTTTGACTCGGGGTGGAAACAGCCACACCATCTCAACTCCCAACCCCAACCGGCCTGGTGCTGCTGCGCCCGACGACCGGTGGGCGCAGAGGAGTGAGAAACAAACTAGAGGGGGGGACGCCACACCGTCATCACTAAAAATAATTGGACGCAAGCGATGGGATGCTTGCAACCCTCGTGGTATCGAGGTGGCATTTTGGGAGCCTAATTGTTAGCGTGAGCTTTGGGCTGCGCTGTATTTCTCCCTTCTGGAAACATTTGGAGCTGAGTGAGGCCTTTGAGAGGCAGAAGGTGCAGGTGAACAGTCCTAAAACGGCAAAGGTGTGAACACCAGCACGCCTGTGCCGAGACTTCATCACTGTGACACAGGCAAGACAGGGCCCTGGCACAGCACCCTGATTGGCCCCTGGTTTCCACTGCTGCACGCAATTGCAGATAGCCGCCCGCAACGACCTGCTCTGCCCACCGAGGCACACCACCAGCTTACTTGTCGAGACATGGATCCATATCCAGACATAAGCCATCGATGGTGCGCTAATATATTTCAGATGGGGTGATGAGGTGGCTGACCACTCGAGAAGGTCAGTTTTGCGAGTTGAGAATTCACATGGCCGGGCTGGCAACGTTGATGTTCAGCAGCATCATGATGGAACTGGACAGCCAACTGGTTGATCAGGAAAGAAATAAAATGCTCCAGCCTCTAGAGGAAACAAAAGTCTATTCTCTAGAGGCTATGACTATGGCTATGGCTATGGAGGTACCTACTTACTATCTAACCCTGGGATGAGGACAACTCCCCCCTTTTATAGTTCGGTATCTAATGTTAGCACTGCCTAACCCAAACGTCAAAGTAAAGCCCTACCTTGTTCTCCTGTCTTTTATATCTTGGAGCGGTTTGGAACTGTGCACTTTGAACCCAGGCACTAAACGGCATCGACCCGCGAGACATTTGGCAAGTCGTTCTCGAGGGACTCACCTTGGAGTCCATCCACCATACGACGGCCATCGGCCGTGATGTAAGGCGCCACAAACCCCAACAATTCCCACAACTGATCCTTGCTCTGCCCCGATGTGCCCATACACCCCGAGCACCAGAAGAACACTTCCATCCAGACCTGCTCCTCCGTCAGCATGTACATGCCCGCGTCCGTAAACATCGAGGCAGGCAGCGGCCATTTGGCCGTGAGTGTTTCCATCCACATCAGGCACCGGTCCACCGAGGGCACGGATGAGTCCGCCTGCACCCTGGAGAAGTCGGGGTCGCAAAACTCCGGGATGGCCCAGTAGGACGCATCGTCGAGCGCGTTGAGGTACCCCGTCAGGAGGTTCATCCTGTGGCGATCGCAGACGGCAGAGTTGGCGATCACTTGGCCCACGACGTAGAATTTGCGGATGGGCTCGGGGAGGCCGTCGAGCCCATAGTAGGTAACTTTAGATGTGACCGATTCCCAGTCGATGTTGAGGCAGTCGCCGCCGTTGTTCATTTCGTGGGAAGACATCGCGTCGGGATCCTGCTGCTGTGAGTTAGTGATAGCTTGCCTGGGCCTTGGTTAGTGGCTTCGAACTTGCTATTTGATGATGTCTATTTCTAGGGTGGTAAACATATATATGCTGCGTTCATTGTTCAATCTCAGGCATCGTTCCGTTAATGGTTCTTTGGAAACAAAGCCATTCTCACCATGATTCCAAGAACCAAGAGTCAGCCCCCGAGTTTACCCCTAGACAGCACAAAGAAGCATCTCGAGAGTACAAACATTGGGCGCCCTCGAAGCCATAGATTGTCAGATGACAAAGACCCTACTTGTTTCAGCAGACGGCATTGTTGTGACTCTCCAAGAACCGGGTTGATGTCGCCCTGCTCTGCCAGGGGTGAGTAACAACAAGGTTTGATACGCAAGATTTCACCCTCACGCCCCCCTCTGCAGACACAGATCAGACGAAACATGAAACAATGTCTGGGAAGAAAATCCTACAAGGCTGAAGCAAACAATCCAGCCACCGCAGACCACGGACCACAGAACCAAACCCAGAGCCGGGATCGACATTGCCCGAGCTGCCGCACACACCACCCACCGCCCAGCCTCCCGCCTCAACCCCGCGTCAGGGGGGTGCGCGGCACAGCATCCAATATCTGAGTGAGCGCATGTCAAGAACGCCACCCGCCACTTACAGTAACATAGCGCAGACGGCTGCACATTGACCAAGGCCTCTTTACCCGGTTGACCCAGCCGAGCAAGCAACGGCAGATCTGCGTCGTCCCTTCCGGAGATCTCTCGCTAGAAGCCATAGACGAGCGCGGCAGGGAGATGGACAGAGAGAGAGATGCACATTCCAATATGTGAGCGAGCAAACACGCACACACACATACACATCACACGGCCGGTTGAAGATGCAGAATTTTGTGTGAAGAGACACGGAGTCGAAGAGAGCGGGGAGGGGGTGTGCTTAAGCCACGCGACACAACCTGGGACTAATGATAATGTGTTCTGGATCACGGTGGCACAAGCGCAGGAAACCGAGGATCAATCTGCGGTAATGTCATGTTTTCTCTCACACACAGACCAGACCGTACCAAGACGATACGGTATCGCCCATGTCGTGCCGGGCCTCCTTGCATAGCACCTCTTGAGGTAATTGAAGATAATCGAGAGAGAGAGAAACGGTCCCAACCAAGCCTTCGGACCCGGTTCCGAGCCACGCGGCTAGCAAACAAAGAGCAAGTCGGTGCCGATGCGAGGCTGCGCCGTTTCGACTTTTTTTCAAGGTTGAGTGAGAGAGGAGGGACGAGAAAACTGACTGACCTGCAAGAGGGCCAATGAAGTCCAGCCCGCCCCCTCCCTCACACAACCCAAGTCTAAGCCAACCCCCTAAAATAGGCCGCGAAAACGGGCCCGGGGCGCGCGCAACTGCCGCCCGTCCGGCTTCCATGCGCCGCGCTAGAAGTGACGAGCACCGTGCTGCTCCCCTCCGCGCCGCACACAGGCAGGCGGCAGGATGAAGAAAACTTGTAGAAAAAGAAAAAAATGTGAGTCAAGCAGCGACGGCGACATAGCCGCGCTCACTAAGAGCCAAGTAGTTGTTGGGGTTGGTCGGACAGGATTATCACCAGAGGGGGACACTTGTTGGTGATGGTCCTGGGAACCTCCCAGCCTCCCTTCAGGTACCTAGGTAACCCTAACCCACTTACACCGCCCGGAACGGGCTTCTCCAAGTCGTTCATCGCCGCCGCAACAGCCTCCCGTATGACGTCGCTGCCTACCAAAAGGATTGACGGGTGACCCAGCAAGCTGGAACTGACTCACGAGGTCGGTAAATACTGGAGTTATCGAGCACACCGCCGCGCGGGTGTTTGGCGCTTCGTCCTGCCATCACACACCGGAGCGCGCCTAAACAGGATCGCACAGTGGCTGCGATTGGGGCTTCTGTTTCAAGGTTTTGACGCTAGCAGGCGAAGATCCACGGGGCGGGGTCCACCTGTAGGGCTGGGTTCGGTGTGATGGCGGAGTTTGTGCTGTGCTGTGCTGGGTTGTGCTGGGTTGGCCTGTTGGGTTGGGACGAACATCCATCCCGAGCATGAAGGGGCGTCGATGGATGAATGGGCCTTCTGCTACTGTGTAGGTGGTGGTCCTTTCTCAGCAGAGGAAACAAGGCGAGGTCGGTAATTCGGGGGCTGTAGGTTGGGGGCAGAAAAAAAAACCCAACCACCATCTCCCCTCCAAAAAGGGCAGGCGAAATACGACCGACCAAGAACTGCGAACAAAACACCCCAGCTATCGGCCGCGCAATCGGACCGTGCGACCCAACACGACCATCCCACAAACCAACGACGAAGGAGGACAACCTACCAAGCCTCCCAGACATCCCTCCCGTCGCACAACGCGCAACTCGCAACCTTCCTTCCTGGGAGCGACCGACAAATGAACGAGCTCGAACACCGCGTCGCACAAGCGGAGGAAGACGGACTTGGGATATAAAAAAGGCCTGGATTTCGGGCCTCGCATCCCTCTCGTGTAGCCCTTGCCCCCGCACACGCACGAAAGTACAAACATCGGTACGGAAATATGCACACAAAAATCCCCCAGGAGCGGGGGAGCGGGGGAGCGGAGGGGAAGGGGAGCAATATCCAGCCCCTCCACGGCCGTTTCCATCAACCAGCCGGCTTTGTCGTTCGTTCGTCCCCGGCAAGGCGAGGATGGTCGGCCGGCTGGCTGGCTGCATACGCGGGTTTAGGTGGTCTCTGTCTGGTGCATGTGTGGTGTACTGTGTGCTGCAGGCCAGGCCAGGCCCAGGTCAGGGTTCGGTTTGGGACGACACAACGGTAAAAAAAAAACCAAAACCCCGAAAAAAAGGCGGAGAAGGGACCATCCCGGGCCGTTCATCCCATCCTCCGCTGTAATCTGTACGTGCATACATATACGGACTGCTGGGCACCTATCCGTCTGGCCTGTCCGTCTGGTGCAACATCGCAGTAATAAAGACGTCCTGTGTAGCATGGCATGGACGGTACGCTCGCAAAAACGGGGACCCGCGTCGGATGATGACATTTTCTGACGTGCATGTTCGCCGTCGTGCGCTCGGTTCTCGTTTTAGTATCAGCCCACCTACCATGCACCCACCCCCCAGGAACGAGAAAAGGGGATGTGGTGTGCAACGGGAAATGACAAGTTTGACAATTTTTTTTATTAAAAAAAAGAAAAAGCTTGACAGGATGGGAGGGAGAAGAGTGTTTCCTTCCTGTTTGGCTTGGCGAAGTCTCGACGGAGGTGTGTGTGTGTGTGTCTCCGTCCGTGCACGGAAGGAAACCAGCCGAAAGGTTGTCTTCTGCCACTGCCAGGGAGAGAGAGCCGGAAAATCCCAACAAGGCCGGGGTTCGGAGGTCAGGTCATGGACGCTGCTGTGAATACGCCGTAATTCCCCGAACAAGAAAAATACGGAGCATGGATAGCTGGTTCCATGGATGGATGCGACGGGCGCAATCCTCCACGATGTAACTGACGACCCTTGAACACGATTATCCAAGCAGGCAGACAACCGACATAGATATCCACGGACATGGTCGACTGTGCAGGCATAGGTAGGAGGGGGGTGCGCGATTGTTTCATCTGAACCTTCCCGCCCCTGGTTTGGGGCGCAGAGGGAGGAAAAAATCCGATGGCGCCAGGCACGAAGAAAAAGCATACCGCCAGATGTTTGGGAGGCAGTGCACGAGCCAGACGAAAATGACCAAGACACGGACCTGCGAGGGGCCTAAAGATCATCGGATAATGCCAGGGCACCGAGAAGGCGGCGCGCCCGGCTTTACGAATATTAGGGCTGAGATCTAGGGTTGCGCCGGGAAAATGGCCAAAGGAAAAGACACGAAAACGGGACACAATCATCAAGTCAGTCTTATTTATTTTGGCATTTTTCTGCACAGATGCCTTGATTTTCGTGGCCGCGTCCGTTCGGTAGGAGCAATGTGGTGGGATCACCACAGGCGGGCGGGTGCGAAGCGACATTGGTTGGGCACACACAAGTTCCAGCTGCTGCCTGAACATGGCACACCAAAAATGCGACGAGAAATTTTGAAGATTGCAAAACCCAGATATCCGTCTAATTGCTACCAATAACTAGTCTATGATCCGATAAAATAGCATAACTCGAAAAGGGGGTATATCCATCCTGTGAAACCCAGGAGAAAAAAAAAAAACAGAACAAAAATCTGACGGCTCGCTATAATTGTCGGAGCACGTCGCGGGACACGATATAAAATGAACGAGGCTCTCGTACACCCAGCGAGACCTTGCGAGTAAACAAACGCGAGATCGCAAAAAACAAATCCTTCTTTCAGAGGCCCGAGCAAAAGTCGCCATTAAATCTCGAGTGCGTGCCACCCGTCATCACTGAAATCCTCCTGACCATTCCATGATCATTCGATCCATCCGGATACAAAGATAACGCGCTTCAAATCCAAAAAAAAAACAAAGGGAAGAAAAACACCGGTAACTTTTGGAGTTCCTGTACACCTGTAATAGGCAGAAGTGGGCAACCATGTCTGCGGCTGCGATGACGTGATCGTGTGATCCGTTGCATCCATCCTTGCTTCGTGGAGCAGGGCGTGTAATAATAGTGTCGCGTTGTAAAAACGACGATCGTGCGCGAGTTGGGTATCTCTGAAAGACCGAAACAAAAACGACGGCCACCGTGATGCGGGACTGCTCCCGACGGAATGTGTATCGAGTTGAGGGCGAAAGAAAAATCCGCCGACCGCGACTTGAGACGAGGAAACGAGACTCCGTCTGTATAATAAAACAAAAACCCCGCTGACCAAACGACCCCGAAAGAGACCTAATCGTACAGACTGGCTTGTGGGTATCCTGATTGTGTTTTGTGGTTTTTCTTTTTTTGTGTTGTGTTGTTGGGACTGGGTCGTGTGTGGTGTGGTATGAAGAAGCCGACCGAGAAAGAGGGGGTCCCATGAGAGGTGATGGTGGTATTACATGGTCGGCTTCTTGAGGATCTCCTCGCAGTTGGTGTCAAACCGGAGGTTCCAGAGACGGACGGACGTCATGAAACGGTCCGTCTTGTCCTTCTCGCGGTCGTGACGACAGTCTCGACGACTCGACGCAGCGCTCTGCCAGCTGACTCTTCTGGCTCGCGCTAGACGA